GAATCTTATGCCAAAAATAAATTCTTGATTTCCTTCCCCAAACGAACTCCTGCCTTAGCTACCCTACCTCCAATGGCACCTCCAGCCTCAAAATTGCCTAGATCAACCTTGGAGATGTGCTGAATTCTTCTCTCTCACTCTGTAGAACTAATGCATGAGCAAATCCCAACTATAGTACACATAAAATGTACGTAGAACCCAACAACATCTCCCCAGCCCACCTCAACCATCCCAGGTCAAGGTCAACCATCTAGGTCAACCATGGTCTAGTTGAACCATCCTAGACCAGGCCATCAGCCCTTTAAATTGGTCTTCCTGCATTTACTCCTGTCTTCCATGGTCTATCCCTTCACTGCACAGTCTGGTCCATTCTGTTCTCTAACTGCATCTATCACCACTGTCCGACTCTCTCACTCTGATCCAGCTGCACCATACCTTAACTGCTCCTGGGACAAGCCAAGCATGCCTTCACCTTGAGGTCTTTGCACTTGTCAACCTCTCTGTCTGAAATGTGGTCAAGTTTCAGGTGATCACTTCTGCTTTCGCGGTTCTCACCTTAGGGCTTCCCCACCAAGCTTGTGCGGCCCACCTTATTTTGTTGTTGTTGTTCTGTTTTGTTTTGTTTCAGGCTTTTGGCAGCCCGAAGCCACGGCTATTAGTTTTTGTCTCTAGTGATAAGCAGAAAAGAGATATGAGGAAGGGGATGATGGCCCCACCAGAAACAGAAACTAAGAAGCCAAGATGTATTCCCTCCCTTGGACACCCCTGCTTCCCTCTGCTGGTGTAGTTGAGATAAGAAAATTAATGGAAGAGAGAATGCTGGGGCTCTCCTCCAGATATGGAGAGGTGCCAAAGACTGATGTTTATGGCTCCCTGAAATTCATAGGCAGAAACCGAATCCCCAAGGGGATAGTATTTGGAGGCGGGGCCTTTGGGAGGTGATTAGGTCACGAAGGGGGAGCTGTAGTGAGTGGGATAAATGCTTTTATAAAAACTTCTTGAAGGGGCCAGGCGCAGTGGCTCACGCCTGTAATCCCAGCACTTTGAGAGGCCGAAGCGGGCAGATCACTTAAGGTCAGAAGTTCAAGACCAGCCTGGCCAACGTGATGAAACTTTGTCTCTACTAAAAATACAAACATTAGCCAGACGTGGTGGTGCTTGCCTATAATCCCAGCTACTCAGGAGGCTGAGGCAGGAGAATCACTTGAACCCAGGAGGTTGCAGTGAGCCGAGATTGCACCACTGCACTCCAGCCTGGGCAACAAGAGTGAAACTCTATCTCAAAAAACAATTAAAAAAAAAAAAAAAGAAAAAATGCTTGAGGGGTTGAATACCCCGTTCTCCGTGATGTGATTATTGCACATTGCATGCCTGTATCAAAACATCTCATGTAGCCCATAAATATATATACCTACTCTGTACCCACTAAAATTAAAAATAAAAAGAAATAAAGAAAAAAACAATGCAAATTATCCCCTTATTCCTTCTGCCACGTGAGTCCATAGCAAAAATACAGTTGTCTATTAACATAAATCAGGAATGGGCTCCCACCAGACACCAGATCTCACCGGTCACCTTGATCTTGGACTTCAAGTTTCCAACACTTTAAGAAATAAAGTTCCCGTGTTTGTCAGCCGCTCAGTCTATGGTACTTTGCTATAACAGTCAAATGGAATAAAAAAGGCAACCCTGGTGGGGAGTCTGCCATCAAGAGATTGAGGACCGTGTCACTGTCCACTGAGGCATCTGGGGCCTAGGAAACGCTATAAAACTATTTTGTCATAAAGAGCTTTGAGATATAGTACCTATGTGGCCCATAAACTTATCAGAATTTTTTTTAAAATTATTTTACTTTGCGTTCTGGGATAAATGTGCAGCACATACAGGTTTGTTACATAGGTATACGTGTGCCATGGTGGTTTGCTGCATCTATCCACCTGCCATCTCGGTTTTAAGCCCTGCATGCATTAGAAATGTGTCCTAATGCTCTCCTTCCCCTTGCTCCCCACTCTCCGACAGGCCCCTGTGTGTGATGTTCCCCTCCCTGTGTCCATGTGTTCTCATTGTTCAACTCCCACTTATGAGTGAGAACAGGTGGTGTTTGGTTCTCTGAGTTCATGTCCTTTGCAGGGACATGGATGAAGCTGGAAGTCATCATTCTCAGCAAACTTACTAGAACTTTTTATTTCCTGCATTCTAATTGCTGATATTTCTTGAGCTCTGAATCCCAAGCTGAAGAATCGCTTCTTATTTTTATTCTTTTTTATAGTTATTTGTGGACAAAGCTTATTGCACATTTTAGACTGCAAGCATCTCCAGGCATAGGTTTTATAGTTTATCATCTCTTCTATTTCTACCACAGGACATGCTACAGAGTAGGTCCATGCTAATAGTTAGCATTTACGGAGCACTTCTTATGTGCTAATGTGTAAGTGGTTTGCAAACGTGGTTGTGCTAATTTCCTTCCCTGAATGCATTTCCCTTTGCAGTATGAATCCGCAGCATTTTCCTCAAGCCATGGAGTCAGTTTCCCCAACCATGGCATCTGGGCTAGCTTTGTGGCTTAGTCTTACCAAGAGCATGTGGCAGACATTATGCCTAGATCTCAATAAGCTTTGAATACATTTTTTTCTTTCTTCCTTTTTTTTTTTTTTTTTTTTTTGAGACGGAGTTTTGCTCTTGTTGCCCAGGCTGAAGTGCAGTGGTGCTATCTCAGTTCACTGCAATCTTCGCTTGCAGGGTTCAAGAAATTCTCCTACCTCAACCTCCCCAGTAGTTGAGATTACAGGTCCTTACTGCCACGCCTGTCTAATTTTTATATTTCTAGTAGAGAGTGGGTTTCACCATTTGGCCAGGCTGGTCTCGAACGCCTGACCTCAGGTGATCTACCCGCCTTGGCCTCTCAAAGTATGGAGATTACAGGCATGAGCCACTGTGCTGGCCCTGAAGTCTTTCACTTTGTTACTCAGTTTCCTGGAGCCCTATCCAATCTCCATTTGAGCAAGACCGAGCTAGCCTGCTGGAGGATGAAAGCCCACATGCTGCAGAGTCATGTCCTTCCAGATGAGGCCATCCTTGATCAACCAGCCCAGCTGGCCCAGCAGCTAACTCCAGACACATGAGGAGGCCTCGCTGAGCTTCATCCAAATTATAAACCAACAAAGGGCAAATCAACAGTTGCTGTTTCAAGTCAGGAGTTGGCAAACTGTAGCCTGTGGGCCAAATCTGGGCTTTCTCCTGTGTTTGTCAGTATTATTTGGTTGGAACAGAGCCTCCCTCCTTCCTGTAGGTGTTATCCATTGCTGCTTTCATATGATAACAGAGTTGAATAGTTGCAACGAACACCGGATGGCATGCAAAGTTTAAAATACTGACTCTTTGTCTCTTCACAGAAAAGGCATGCAAACCTTGCTTTAAGTCACTAGTGTGGGAAGGGCTTGTTATAGCCAGGAACTAAGCCATGCATTTAAAATATTATCTGTTTTATTATTATTATTATTATTATTATTGAGATAGATCTCATTCTGTCTCCCAGGCTGGAGTGCTGTGGTGTGATCTCACCTCACTGCAACCTCTACCTCCCGGGTTCAAGTGATTCTCCTCCCTCCACCTCCAAAGTAGCTAGGAATATAGGCACATGCCATCACCTCAGGCTAATTTTTATATATTTAGTAGAGATAGAGCTTCATCATGTTGGCCAGGCTAGTCTTGAACTCCTGATGTCAGGTGATCCACTCGCCTCAGCCTCCCAAAGTGCTGGGATGACAGGCGTGAGCCACTGCACCTGCCTTATTATCTGTTTTAATCATCAGCTTAACCCACTGAGGGTTGATCATGCCCATTTTACAGAGAAAACTGAGGCATAGAGAAGGAGAAAAATTTGTATACAGTGGGGTCAGGAGAAAACCCAAATAGTCTGGCCTTACAGCCTTATGACATTGGCATTACTGCTGCATTAAATAACGCTAAATACCTGGGTACATGTCTGAGTGAATAACAGTTCAGGTCAGATCAGTTCTTATGAGGAAGGAGCATGGACAGTAGCAGTCTTTGAGTCAGTGGTGTATGCTTTTGAACACAAATGAATTTCTCATGGAAAGGGTTAGACATTTCCGCCATCTGGACCTTAAGGGTTCCTGACAAGACTTTTATATATGTATCTCTAATGGATCGCTGAAATATATTGTGTGTGGGAGGGAGGAAGGAAGAAAATAAGTAAGTGGGGTAGGGATGTCAGAGGCATTTGAACGAGAGTGACTCCATTTTGAATAGGGACTGAGTAAAATGAGGCTGAGACCTGCTAGGCTGCTTTCCTAGGAAGCTAGGCATTCTTAGTCGCAGGATGTTTATGGTTAAGGGAACAGGTTAACAATGTTTGCCAAACAGACCTAGGATTTAACAGACCCAGGAAATGGACTGATGTCTTGATGTCTTAAGAATAAAAGCATGATTTGTTTAAGAATAAGTTTTACAGCCTGGCCTGTAATCCCAGCACTTTGGGAGGCAGAGGTGGGCAGATTGCTTGACCTGAACTGTTATTCAGCTCCATATTCACTCAGACCAGCCTAGGAATCCCTGTCTCTATGAAAAATACAAAAATTAGTCTGGCATGGTGGTATATCCTTGTAGTCATAACTACCTGGGAGGCTGAGGTAGGAGGGTCGCTTGAGCCCAAGAGGTTGAGGCTGCAGTGAGCTATGATCATATTGTTATGTGTAAATTTTCAGTGCTGCAAAAGAAGTAGCACTGGAATATAAATTTCCTCAGGAAGACAATTTACCTCTATAGAAGGGTGTAGCTCACAAATGGAACAACGGTGAGCACACACCTGGACAAGGGAGGGGAAGGGGTTCTTATTCCTGAGGCAGGTAGCCCCTACTGCTGTGTTGCTCCCCTGTTGGCTAGGGTTGGACCTCACAGTCTAGTCTAATTGTGATTGGCTATTTTTAATTAAAGAGAGCTGGGGTATGAGTTGGAGTGGTGGGATAGGTAGTTTAGCAGAAGGATGGTTACAGGACAGGTCAGAGCAGATGACCAGCGGTGTCTCAGGTCAAAGCAGGTGACCGGAGCAGGTGACCGGGATGAGTCAGGGGAACAGATGTGAACTACTGATTAGAACTGGTGGAAAAGGTTGTTTACTGAAACTACAAGGGAGTTAAACTTTAAAATGGAGGACCGACCGTACTGACATACTGATTCTTTGAAGAGAAACTTGGAGTTCACTATATCTAACAATCACACCACTGCACCACAGCCTGGGTGACAGAGCAAGACCCTGTCTCAAAAAAAAAAAAAAAAAGAGAACAGAATTAGTTTTGCTTTAAAGATAGTAACAGAGATTCTTGCAGAAAATGGTAGTTACAGGAAGGTGAAAACTCTGCGGTCCCAGCACCTTGTAGTAGAGCCCACCACCCCTATGAGTTTTTGCCTTTTTTATCTTAATATAAACAAACATTGTAACTAAGGTGGGCATGTTCTTCCTTTGGCTTTTGGGAATATCCTGCTGTGTCTGTTGAGCAGCCATTCTTTTATTCCTTTACTTTTTTTTTTTTTTTTTTTTGAGACTGAGTCTCGGTCACCCAGGCCGGAGTGCAGTGGCATGATCTCAGCTCACTGCAAACTCTGCCTCCTGGGTTCAAGCGATTCTCCTGCCTCAGCCTCCTGGGTAGCTGGGACTACAGGCGCGCACCACCACACCCGGCTAATTTTTTGTATTTTTAGTAGAGATGGGTTTCATTGTGTTAGCCAGGATGGTCTCAATCTCCTGACCTTGTGATCCACCCGCCTCGGCCTCCCAAAGTGCTGGATTAAAGGCGTGGGCCACCACGCCTGGCCTTATTCCTTTACTTTCTTCATAAACGTCCTTTCCCTTAATTCTGTGGACTCATCCTGAATTCTTTCTGAGGTCCAAGAACCCTCTCTGGGGGTCTGGATTGAGACCGTTTTCCGATAACAGAAGAAGATGGAAGAGGTGGCGGTGAAGGAAAGGAGGAAAGAGAAGGTTTAGAAAAGGAAGGAAAAGCAATTCAAATTCTATTGAGGGTAGAGAGTCTTTCATTTGTCTCTGGCAACCACTGATATCCATTCTGAATGTAGAATTAATCTGTCTTTGCAAAGGCTTGGAGCATCATCAGGGCTCACTGCTGAACAAGGTAAGGAAATTGTAGCCTGTCTTCTATCTAAGCCCCTGGCCTTTACTGGTCCAGCCTCCTCCGGAGTGAGTTAACGGGCCTGCTTAGTGAGGCCCTCACAACTTCCCCATTTCTCAAAAACAGGAGCATGTCGACAGTGCAACACTACATCCTAGACAGAAGCGAAATCCCCTTGACTGTCTCAACATCCTCCCCCTGCCCCCATCTACGCTGACACTATTCAATAACCCACATTGACTTTGGGAGGAGAAAAAAATGTAATTGTAGAAGTGGAAATCCCATTAAAAGCTAAGATCAAAAGGAAAGTTTCCATCCAATGATATGTAATTAAACATGCGGAAGTGCCCCGCTCTGATTCTTGAATGCTTATGCACTTCTAAATTGTTGCCAGGGAGATCAGGGCCTGAGAAAATTAAAACCATTTCACCTCAAAAGGATACATGATTTTCACAGCTTTCTAACGTGATTTCCTGTTGCGCAGAGCTTTGTGTTTTCCCATATTCCCCTCCCTGCCTCTGTACTGATGTTCAGGACTGAATGGAAGCAGCTTTGCAAACATCCTTGGTCGAGAATTCCCACAGGTCCAGCCTGATGTGTGCAGAGCAACAGACAGCAAGGCCTAACGTTCTGCTTGCTACTGCTTCATGTTCAACCAGAGAACAAATGCCCCCGCTTAGGCAGAGTACCCTGAGGGTAGTCTCAGGGTCTGGGGTTGAGGAGAAGTAAAGTATTGTTAAGTAAAGTTACAATGTAACTCAAAGTTATGCAGTGCCTCTGTTACATCAGGGTGACCTGCACAGTTTATTTAGCTTCTCTATGCCTTAATGTCTTCTGTTGGGTTCCCCCAGAAGTAGACATAAAAACAAGTATTTTAGGACAGAAAAATATAGGAAATGTCAGTAGAAGACTGGGCAGAAAAGGGAAGCATGCTAATACAGCCAATTACCACTGTGGATCCTACCAGGGAATGGTGGGAAATGGTGGAGAAGTTTTGATATAGTTTGGATCTGTGTCCCCACCCAAATCTCATGTCTAACTGTAATCTCCAGTGTAGGAGAAGGGACCTGGTGGGAGGTGATTAAATCATGGGGGCAGACTCTTCTCCTTGCTGTTCTCGTGACAGAGTTCTCACGAGATCTGGTCATTTGAAAGTGTGTAGCACCCCCCGCTTCATTCTCTCTCTCTCCTGCCGGCTATGTGCAGTTGTGCCTGCTTCCCCTTCACCTTCCTCCACGATTTTAAGTTTTCTGAGGCCTCCCCAGAAGCAGAAGCCTGTCCAGCCTTAATGTCTTCTATTGGGAACCGTGAGCCAATTAAACCTCTTTTCTTTATAAATCACCCAGTCTCGGTTATGCTTTTATAGCCGCAAGAGAATGAACTAATGCAAGTTCGCTTCAAAGCTTTCTATCCCAAGAGGCAAGGGAGTTGGAAATTTATCTAACTCGCCTTGGACACTGCCTGAGGTTATTTACAGGGAACGGTAATACTTCTCTTTGCCTTGAAGGCAGGTAAAAAGAACCTTCCTGGCATCAGAAAAAGGCCCCCGGAAAAAGGGACACAGGTACTAACCGTTGCAAATTATCCAGAGCTCTTCCAAGTTGTAAGATTTGAAGGAAATGCCTGCCACCTATAGTCTCAGCTACACTCAGTTTCTTAATCTGCAAAATGGAATTAATAATAGTACTTACTTTATGAGGCTGTTGCAGAAATTTGTTGAGTTGCTACATGCAAAAACACTGAGAACCCAGCAGGGCATATAATAAGCATTCTATTGCATGGCATGGTTGCTATCAGTTTTACTTCTATTACTGCTACTGCTTGGACGACTTCTGCTTTTTTGATATGAAAGTCTACCATCGGGGAGCACTGTAGAGGAAAAGGTATTAGGCCAGGCATACTCTTTAGTTCTCTGGCCTTGAGTCCTTCATCCGTGTTATTCAGTTAACAATACCTAGCCAGTAGGGGTGTTAAAGATGAAGTAAATGTGAGAACATGCCTGAAGCTAAATCTTCCTCAAAGGGTTATGGACTTCAGAGCCAGAAGGAGGTCATCTCTCCTGTGCTCCCTGATATGCTGGAATCTGCCACATTACTGGCAACAGGTGGGCCTCCAGCATCTGCTCCAGTGCTTTTGGAAGTCCTGACACCCTCCCGATCTTCTCTGTAACATGCACGCTTTGGCCTGTGTCAGTTTGCAGGACCCACATCAGGCCAGCCCTCTTCTCGAGACAAATTATCTTTTTTTTTTTGTTTTTTATTTTTTTGAGACAAGGACTCACTCTAGTGCCCAGGCTGGAGTGCAGTGCAGTGAACATAGCTCACTGCAACCTCGACCTCCTGAGCTCAAGTGATCCTCCCACCTCAGCCTCCCAAGTAGCTGGGTCTACAGGTGCATGCCACCATGCCCAGCCAATTTTTGTATTTTTTGTAGAGACAAGATTTCACCACATTGCCTAGTCCAGTTTCAAACTCCTGGCCTAAAGGGATCCTTCCACCTTGGCCTCCCAAAGTGCTGGGATTACAGGTGCGAGCCACCGAACCTACCCAGGAACAGAATATTAACCGTCATTTTAAAAGAATTCAAGAAGTTTGCTTGAATTCATGATCAAGCAGCTCACCAGCTGGGAATAATATAATGCCAATTTTTAGAGTAATGGCTAAATAAATCAGGATATAGCCATAGAACAGAATACTATGTAGAAAGTGAGAAAAAATAAAGTATTCCTTTATTTCCTCTTAAGGAAATAACTCTAACCATAATATTGAGAAAGAATGAAGTATTCGTTTATTTCCTATTAAAGAAATAACTCTAAGCATAACTTGAGTGATAAGCAGGTTGTATGCTATAACAACATTTAAATAACACATACAAAAGATAGCATATTTTAAGTATATATGAATGTTAAATGCATTCTATATTGCAACAGTTAATTTTAGATATCACATGGCTAGGCCATAAATACGATCTTAGATGTTTCTGTAAAGATATTACTTAGGTGAGACTAACATTTAGATCAGTGTACTTTGAGTGAAACAGGTTATACACTATAGTTGGGTGGGTCTCACTTAAGCAGTTGAAGTTTTAAAAGAAATAAGGCTGACCTCCCACAAGAACGAAAGAATTATGCCTCCAGGCTTTCTTTGGACACAGGGTGTAGTATCACTTCCTCCCTGGGTCTCCACACTGATGGCTGGAGCTACCCTGTCTGCAAGTTTTGGACTATGTACACACGCATATTCCTTACCAATTCCTTACAATAAATCTCTTTTTTCTCTCTCCATATGTGTATATATACACATAAGTATATATAGATATACACACGTATGTACATATACATGCATGTATATGTAGGCATAGATATATGTATGTAGACATGTAAGTGTACAGATGTGCATGTGTACATTAATATGTATATGTACATATTAATATACATATTAATAGGTATATGTACATATTAATGTACATATTAATAGGTATATACATCTATGTATATATACCTATATTCATGCACACATATGTGTATGTATGCATATGTGCGAATACATGCATATATGTGTATACACATATGTATATGTGTGAATATAAACATGTGTGTATGACATATATATGTATATACATGTGTGTGTATATGCGCGCACATATATACACACACATATGCACACTCACACACATACAAATGCTCACCCATGCACCTGCACATACACACACACTTCTGGAATTGGGTAGGGAAGGAAGGACAGTGGGGAGCAGGGACATTTTAGACTTATCTTATTGTTTTCATTTTTTAACAAAGAAAACTTATGCAGGCATTAATTTTACAATTAAAAGGCATTCAAACATTTTGCTGCAGGCACTGACCAATACCCCCTGTGAAATGTCGCTAAGGTCATGTTACTCCTGCCAGTGTCACAAAATGACAGTTTCTGTGTTCTGCTTTCCTGGTTTCCTGTTGTGCCATTTTTGATCTACGCATGCTTCCACTGTCATCTAGCTTTTTGAAAAAATCATCTTGTTTGCCCTTCTTCCAGGTCCTGGCTTTCTGTCCTGGCCATCCAATCTAATCCGCCGCAAACAGGTCTCGTTCCTCTTTGTCACTGCAGGCCAGCTCCGAACCGCCTATTTTTTCTCACTGACATAGAAAGATGAGATGCGTCAGTGCCCTTGCAAACATGAAAGCCTAGCCAGTGAAGTGCTGAGTGCTGGAAGCTTTCCCTGGGCATAAACAGGTAGAAATACTGGAGACTCTGTATCAGATGAAGTGACTCAAAGGGACAGGACAGCCATCTTTGGACGGTTTATGAGCTTTCAGAAGGAAGAGGAATCAGGACTCACTTCTTGCGGTGCATGGTGCAGAATCAACTGGATAACTGTTCCCAGGAAGCAGATTTCAGCACGTGATGAAGAAGAGCTTACTGGCACGTGGAAGAACTCCATAGTGGAAGGGGGCTGACTCTACAGAGTGAGCTTCCTTTTACAGTAGGTATTCAAACCAGACAGACGTATCACTCTCAGGTTCCAACACTTAGTGTAAAGTAAAATTAGACAGCCTATCAGGGCATTCTAATAGTATGATTCTAAAAAAAACACTAGTTCTATAGTTTGGGTCATACCAAGGTTTTGGTCAGACCATCCAAAAGACGGAACTCTGAACTTGTGGTTTCCCCGTCAAATATTGGGCAAAGAATCAAGATATTCAATTTCTGCTGCAGAACTTCTGGGCTTGAGGCTTGATATGGTTTGGCTCTGTGTCTCCACCCAAATCTCATCTCAAATTGTTAATCCCCACATGTTGAGGGAAAGACCTGGTGGGAGGTGATTGGATCATGGAGGCGATTTTCCCCATGCTGTTCTTGTTATTGTAAGTTCTTAGGATATCTGATGGTTTTATAAGGGGCTCTTCCCGCCTTGCTTTCGTTCTCTTTCCTGTCACCTTGAGAAGAAGGTACTTGCTTCTCCTTCTCCTTCCGCCATGATTGTAAGTTTCCTGAGGCCTCCATAGCCAAACCTTGTGAGTCAACCAAACCTCTTTCTTTTATAAATTGCCCAGTCTTGGGTATTCCTTTATAGTGGTGTTAGAATGGACTAAGACAAGGCTCCACAGAGGTTCCCCACCACACCAAATTGGATTAGTCATTCAGACATTATGGAAAAAACCTCTCTTGATGGAAATAGTGTGAATCCAGAGTCATCCACAGTAAAAGGAGTGATCTGATAGAATTAGCAGATGTTCCTCACACTTCACTGGTTTCCTAAGAAGTCCCCTTGAGTTCTTGGAGCATGTGACTCACTGGAGCATCTATGGAATCCATTCATTTGCTTTGACATACATTCATGTTGAATTTAGAGAGCTCTGGCTTTGCTAGTACTGGTCTAGTCTGAAGGCAAAAGGAGAGTTGATGACTGCAGTTGGTTGAAGTCAAGACAGAAGGCTGGAGGAGCAAGGGCACTCCCCGAGGTGGGAGTGCAAGGACCTTGTCTGTCTGATTATCTCATCCCTCACATGGAGCCTGCTGTGGAGTAAGTGTGATTCATGCTCCCATTTGAATGAGAAATGAAGCCTGAGGAATGTGATGGCCAAGGGTTGGCAACATCTTCTCCTAGCCCATCCTTTTTTGCAGCTAATTATGGTGGTTCCCCAAATGGAAAACTCTCTGCTAATAGCAAGCCACATTCTGGCTTTTTCCCCACCCAGAGTAAAGTGGGAGCATCTTGATATTCCACACGATGAGAAACCAATTCCTCTTGCCCTTCAGGTGAAGTCCCCAAACTGGAGCCAGCTGTCTCATGTGATACCATGGACTCTGCCACTGTGTCAGCCCACCTGGGCACTGCTTTATACATCTGTTTCAAGGAACAAGTTAAATGGCAGGACGTTGCCCAGACTGAAAGAGCCCCTGGGGAGAAAGCAGTAAGCTGCATCAAAGCATTCCTGCTCACTCGGTGACTTTCAAATGCACTTCAAGCCCACAGTCATGCCACACTAGCTAGGCAGGGGGAAGATGCGGGGCGGATGCTCTGGCTCTTGCAATTAAGCGGACTGGAACCCCGCGGCTCGGGCTGGTGTCGTGGGAGGAAGGCAGGACTGAGTGACTCATTTACGGCTTGGCACTTATGTGTTCAGCCAAGCAGCTGGTGCGTGGAGATCAACAGGTTCAGCAAGCTCAGGTGTGGTTCTGGCAGGTGTCTGCGACTAGGAGACAGACAATACTCAGGATCGTGATTGTCGCAGGTGGGCTGCGAGCAGACTCCAGTTCCCTGGGAAAGAGTCAAAGTATATCTAGTAAAACTCATTACTAAGCAGGCTGCAATCCAGCCAGAGCACATATTCCTGGAAGGCACCTGTAGGGCTGGGCAGGAAAGCTGAGCTGGAAGCCCAGATATACTGAAGTGATGAAATCTATTGAGCATCAGGATGATAGCAGGTTCATGCCAGTATATCTGACACGTGGTACCAGTAACTCCATGAATAACCGCTGTCCCTCGCGCAGGCAGGGGACATCCACGTGCTTTGCTTAGCATCATTTCGGGGTCCAATCAAGACTGAGACTATAAAGAACGGACCAGGGACTCCAGGCAAGAGGAGCCCAGGATTGTAAGATTGTACAGAAGCCTGGGAAAATCGGGTCATCCTCTAACAGGACACATCTCTGCCCCAAACTGGCAGCAATGGCAATACCGCCAGTGCAACGTGTATCGTAGAGGGTCAACTGTGAATGCTTTCCATCCTGGGCCTGTGGGATGGACCATTAAATGAGCACCTTACCAAATAATGATTTTGTTGTAGCATTTTATTGACAATGAGAAAAGACTAGCTCACGGACTCTCCGTGTCGATCCGGCAGACAGCCCAACTCCCCACTTCCCACAGGTAATTACCTGCTCCTAATTGGGTCTGAAAGCAGTGAGTTTGTATTTAAAGGTAGGAGTACAGAACACTTTGTATTTTTTCAGAGACTGAATGAGTTCAGCGCTCTGTGTAACTGTGGCTTAAGGAGCCAGACGGGGTCTCCATGCAACACAGTTTCTGCACGTAAAGCTCTGTGTCCTGGGGCAGAATGTGACACTTCCCAGGGTCTATATTTCTCTATTTATAGATGGAAAAGGAGGTCTGTGGTATTTAAATAAGAAATACCAAGGCAACTGTCCCAGCGTCTAATATAAGAGATGCTCAGGGATTACTAATTGGACCTGAATCTTTCTTGTCAACATGAACAGAAATGTCTTTTCAGCTCTACGTCTTGTTGCTGTGGTGTGTGATAAATATTCTAAATATTCTCATCATCGGCCAGGCATGGCCGGCTAAGGCCTGTCATCCAAGCACGTTGGGTGACCAAGGCTGGAGGATCACTTGAGACCGGGAATTCAAGACCAACCTAGGCAACACAGCAGAACTTGTCTCTAGAAAAAAAAATTAGCCAGATATGGAAGCATATGCTTGTAGTCCCAGCTACCTGGGAGGCCCAGGCAGGAGGATCGCTTGAGCCCAGGAGTTTGAGGTGACAGTGAGCTCTGATCATGCAACTGCACACCAGCCTGAGTGACCAAGTAAGATTCTGTCTCTATAAAATACAGTGTGTGTGTGTGCACGCACATATGCGTGTATATTGTTTTGTATATTATCTCATTGAGTTTTCTTTCTTTTTTTTGAGACAGAGTCTCACTGTGCTGCCCAGGCTGGAGTGCAATGGCACGTTCTCAGCTCACCGCAACCTCTGCCTCCTGGGTTCAAGAGATTCTCGTGCCTCAGCCTCCTGAGTAGTTGGGATTACAGGCATTAGCTACCACATCTGGCTACTTTTTGTATTTTTAGTTGAGATGGGGTTTCACCATGTTGGCCAGACTGATCCTGAACTCCTGATCTCAGGTAATCCGCCTACCTCAGCCTCCCAAAGTGCTGGGATTACAGGCGTGATCTCATGCCAGGCCTATCTCACTGAATTTTCAATACGGCTCTGTCACACAATCAAGACAGGCAAAGTCATTTTCAGTTGACAGTTGGGAACATGAAGGCCAGCAGAGGGGTCATGCCCATAACTAAGACGATAATGTCAGAGTTGGTCACAGCAGGGTTCAAAAGAAATATTGAGTTTTAGGGAAGGGGAAATTGCCTGCATGGATGCTAAGAAGAGTCAAGGAAGCTACAGCCTTGAAGAAGCTGGCTAATAGGTACAGTTCTCAGCCATCCCTTGATGAGACAGATGAAGGGGGAACAGGAACAAATTCCAGCTCCCAGGACAAGAGATATGTCCTTTCACTCACATGGACAAAAGGTAGGCAGGGTGGCTAGAGCACAGCACAGGGTTCCTATTGCTCTGGGGGAAGCCTGAAAACTCAAAGACCCAACTAGAAGTGGGGGCAGGTGCAGCGAAGCCACTGCCAAGCCTTATCTTGAGAACCTTGAATTGACTGATGAGCCCTGAAGAAGGCAGCAGACTCCAGCTGCATTTTGCTGCACACTATGAAACAGTAGCATTGAGACCAAGGCGGGGCGAAGGCTCCTGCTCAGTCTGCCCTGTTCAAGCCCTTTTCATTTACCAGACACATTCTTGAAGGTTTGCTCAGGGAAGGTGCCTGCCCTTGACCTGGGGACTTCTGCTAGACTACCTACCTTCCTCTCTGGCTTCCCTGGTCTCCGGTCCCACTTTGGTGCTAGATCTTAACTCCTCCTCTCTAGTGAGTTCTTACTAATGCCGGGGATAGATTTAGAGCATTCTTTCCTCTGATTTCTACAGCACTGAAGCTCAGGGAGACTTTAGAGAAGAATCGTCCCTCAGGAAAGTACGGCTCAGTGAAGGGAAAGGTATTGCCCAAGTGCACATGGCTGGGTTGGAACCAGAGTGGGGATTCTGGCTCCCAGTCCAGAACTCTGTACTCACCACCTGCCTTGTCTTCATGAAGCTTACACTCTATAGAAAGTGCACTGGACACCCAGCCTCACATGTGCTCAGCGCCGTGCTTGTGGCAGGGCAACAAGAGTGCGTGTTCACAGGGTGCCTGAGAATGAACTCCACCTGGTCTGTGTCTTGGCCAGAGGGACCCAGGCCCTGTGGTATGCAAGGCCATAGCACGGACTTGAGCTTGAGCTAGGAAAGTCAGCAAGGCAGACTACCCACATGGCCGGGGGCACCCAGGAGCCTCGAGTTTATTGCTCTTCCCTCCGGGTTTGTCTCATCTCGAGCTCCCAGGGCTCACAGCCTTCATCTTCTACAGAGGCGGGTGCTGCACTTGGCTGTACCACTTGTCTGCACCACTTGGCTGCCCCCTAAAGATGAGAGGATAGCCCAGCAGCAATGGCTTCCGAACACTTGGATTCGAAGGTTGTCACTGCCACTTCCTTGCAAGGAAAACTTGGGCAAGTTACTGATCTTCTCTAGGACCTGGTTTCCCCATCTGTAATAACACGCATGGTAATATGTTCAGGTGAATAAACAAAATAAAACATATAAACATACTAAGCACAGTGTATGATGTGTGGCAGGCATCGAAGCAGGTGATACACTCAGCTGGAGAGACGATTTAGTAGGGTGCTTCGAGCCAGACTGCCTGGGTTCAAATCCCAGCTCTGCTCCTTAACAGCTGTAAGCCTGGGTGCAGGTTACTCAACTTCTTTGTGGTTCAGTATCAATATCAGTAAGATAAGGCTCATAACGGAGCAATTTCATTGGGTTGACAACTGACTCAAATGAGTTAATTCGAAGAAAGCATTTAGGACAGTCTCTGCCATGTGCAAACTGCTGAATAAACATCAACAACTCCACTCTTTTTACTTTCTAGTTTTAAAAATGAATTTAGGAAAGCCAGATTCTTTCTACTGAAAGCCTCTTCACTGAGAAGATTGATGCAGGCACCAAGACACTGGTGCCAACATTGAGCTTACCGGCTGGTAATCTCATTTGTTTCTTCTTGCTGTTTTCAAGCATGACCCATACCAGGCAGAGCAATATGCTTGTACAATACTCACGAGCTGGGCTTGCTGGGCAGTGACTTCTCCACTGCATGCTATAAATGGCTGCCAGCAGTGAAATTACATTTGTATTGATCTGAAGAACATTTTATTGATCAAACACAGGGAATGAAACCTTTGAAATATAAACCCATTATTTTAACAATTTGTTGCCAGGAGTAGGCAAAGGCGGCTTTTCTATTTCTTTTGGTGAGCTGGCCTTCCAAGAACAGTTTCGTGTCTATTTAGAGGGTCTGGAGACCCAGCCCCACGAGCTTATTAAGGACCATCTCTCTATCTCCAGCTCCCTTACCCCCATCTTTCTTCTCCATGGTTCTGTTCCTCGAGGCGTATCTGCAGGCAGGCCCTTCTGCCTCTAAACACTTTTTTTCTCTCTTTCTTTCTTGAGTAACCATTTCACAGCCTATAAAACTCATTTCTATCCTTATATCACCTACTGGGTTAGAGGATCTACCCTCTCAGTGTTCCAGGATCATTCTGAGGAATGAGGGGTGATTGTGCAGGTGCCAGCTTGCCAGGACTCCCCTGGGAAGCTCTCAAAGCTGCCTCAGCAGGTCTGGAGCAAAAAATCATCTGAATCCATGATTCCTCTGGCTCCTGCATCTGGTTTCATTAAATGAAATTAACATTGTTGTGGGCTATCCAGGAAACTTAGGACCTCTGGGTGAAAAAATACTCACAAGGGGGTAGTAGCCCAGCAGCAATTTCCAAAATATTCAGTTAACATGTGCACTCAGTCTTTGAATAAACCTGGGCCTGGTCTCTTGGGAGGAGCCAGAGATTCATCCTCTGTCTCAGTGTGCTGATAATCCAGCCTGAGAGAGGAGAAAGCCACATAAAAGAGTGAACCATAGGAGAAAGGATTTTACTAGGAGTTATAAGAGTAGTACAACAATTCAATGAGGGAAAGAGCAGTCTCTTTAACAAATGGTACTGAGACAACTGGATAGCCACATGCAAAAGAGGGAAGTTGAATCCCTACCTCACACCATATACAAAAATTAGCTCAAAACAGACCAAAGACTTTAATGTAACAGCTAAAACTATAAAACTCTTAGAAGAAAGGATAGGAGTAAATCTCCATGACATTAGATTAGGTAATAGTTTCTTAGATATAATGCCTAAAGCAGAAGAAACCGAAGGAAAAAAAAATAATTAGGTAAATGGGACTTGCTCAAGATGAAAACATCTTGTGGTTCAAAGAATGGCCATAGAATATGCAAATCTCATATCTAATGAGTCTAATATCCATAATAAAGAACATTTACAATTCAACAATACAAAGACAAATAACCCAATTTTAAAAATGGGCAGATAATTTGAACAAACATTTGCCCAAAAAAGAGATAGAAGTGGCCCATAAACACATGAAAAGATGCTCAACATCACTAGTCACTAGGAAAATGCAAATCAAAACCCCAATAAGATATCACTTATATCCACTAGGATGGCCATCATCAAAAAGACAGAAATAACAAGAGTTGGTCAGGCTATGGAGAAATTAGAATCCTTATAAATTGCTGATAAAAATGCAATGATGGTGCAGCCACTTTGGAAAACAGTTTGGCAGTTTCTCAAATGTTAAGCCCAAAGTTAACATATAACAATTCCACTTTTTGGTATTTATTCAAGAGTATTGAAATATGTTCCCACAAACTGGGACACAAATGCACATATCAGCATTGATCATACAGCCAAAAGGTGAAAACAACTCAAATGTCTACCAACTAATGCATAAACGTAAGTAAAATACTGTATATTCATACAATAAAATATTATTTAGTCATAAAAAGAAAATAAGTACTAATGTTTTCCAGGCTCACAAATGAAAGAAGCCAGTGAAAGGCCACATATTTCAGTGAAAGGCTTCTTTCACTTTCTGCTCAGTGAAAGAAGCCAGACAGAAAGGCCACATATTATATGATCTCATTTATACGAAATGTTCAGAATAAGAAAATCCACAGAGTCTGAAGTAGATTAGTGGTTGCCTGGGTATTGGAGGAGTAGAGAATGAGGATGGGACTCTAATGGGTATAGAGTTTCCTTTTGGGGCACTGAAAATGTTCTGGAATTAGTGAAGATAGTTGTGCAATTGTGTAAATAAATACACTAAAAGACGCTGAATTGTACACTTTTAAAAAGTAAATTTTATGCAATGCAAATTATATTTCAATTTAAAAAATTAGTGGCATAGACCCAGTGTGCTTTAGATGATGGGAAGAAGGAGAAAGTGGTCAGACCAGGGCACCACTGGAGCCGGGCTGGAGTGAGGGCTCCATCCCCTTTCCCTGCAACTTTGCCCGGAGGGCTGCTGCCTCCTGACAATAAGCCCTGTGACTGAGACCAACAAAACGATCATTTCTGGCAAATAGAAGTCCTATGGCCTGGGAAGCTCATTCCTTCATGCAATTTACTTTTGTTTTTGAGTTTTCACTTCCTCTTGGAGAAGAGAGGCAGGAACTGTTGACAAGTCTGGAAACCGGAAATGCAAACGACAAAAGGAGTCCCCAGGGAGTGCCTGGGTATCCAGCCTCCCCAGCTCAATCACTTTGTGCCAGGGAGGCTCCTGGCTCAGAGACTCAGCAGCAAAACTGGCTGAAACTATTTCCCATCCATTTCTCAGACAAGGGAAGCTACCGTGGGAGTGATGCCACAAGGAAACAGAACAGACCATCCCTATATGCATAACACTAGGCATTGTGGCAAGAGAGCGCCAGTCTCCATCACCTCTGCATCGAACGCAGCACCAGTTCGGGCAATGGTTTTGACCTTGATTGGCAGGTAGTTACGGTGTAGTGTGAACAGCCACCCAGAAACTGATGGACTGGGCTGGCTCTGTTTATGGGGAAGTAGGGCAAATCCTGTACGTACCCTCTGGGCAGTGGCAGACAGTGTGTGTGCCTAGAGAGCAGGTGCAGGCACCTTCATCCCACAGGGGTGCAGAGAAGCTGAGTGGCTCAGTCAAGGTGACAAAGTCTATTCCTAACAGATCAAGTGCGAGAAGCCAGATGACCTGCCTCCGGATTTACGGTCACTCCCTTACTTCACCCTTGACCTGCATCCGGATTTACGGTCACTCCCTTACTTCACCCTTCTTCTCAAATGAAAGATGCAACAAGCACAGACTCAAACCCCAGCAAACACCTGGACTTTGGCTATGTCTCTCTTTAGACAGAATTTTTCTTTCTTCCTCCTCCTTTTCTTCCTCTTTTTTTCCTCTTCTCCCGTTCCTCCTCCTTTATCTGTCCTCCCCTTCCTCCTCCTTCTATTTTTCTCCTTTCTCCTCTTTCTCCTCCTTTTCTTATCTTCCTCCTCCTTCTGCTTCTTGTCCTTATCCTTCCCCTCCTCCTCTTTTACTTTCTTCTTCTTCTCCTTCCCCCCCCCTTCTTTTCTTCTTCTTCTTTTCCTCCTTCTCCTCTTCCTCCTTCTTCTCCTTCTGTAACCATCCAATGGGTTCACTTTGCCTGCATCTAGAGAGTCTATTTCTCAACATAGAAAAATCGCAGTAGAGAAAGAGTAATTCATGCAGAGCCAGCTGTGCAGAAGACACGAGTTTTATTACTACTCAAATCAGTCTTCCAGAGCATTTTGGGGAGAATTTTTAAGAACCACTTGGTGGGTGCGGGGAGCCAGTGAGCCAGGAGTGCTTATTGGTCAGAGATGAAATCATAGGGAGTTGGGGCTGTCTTCTTGGGCTAAGTTAGTTCCTGGGTGAGAGCCACAAGATCAGATGAGCCATTTAATTTATCTGGGTGGCGCCAGCTGATCCCTGAAGTTTAGGGTCTACAAAATATATCTCAAGCATTGATCTTGGAGGTAGTTTAGGGAGGGTGAGAATCTTGTAACCTCCAGCTGCATGACTCCTAAACCATCATTTCTAATCCTGTGGCTAATGTCAGTCTAGTTCCCAGGCAAGAAGGAGGTCTGCTTTGGGAAGGGGTTGTTATCATCTTTATTTTAAACTAAGTTTGTCCTGAAGTTAGTTCAGCCTACGCCCAGAAATGAACAAGGACAACTTGGAGGTTGGAAGCAAGATGGAGTCGGTTCAGCTGACAGATCTCTCTCACTGTCTCAGTTACAGTTCTGCAAAGGCAGTTCCAGTTCTCTCTCTCCTCCTCCTTCCCTTCCTCTTCTCTCTCTTTCACTCACTTTTCCTCCCTCTCTCCCTTTCTTTTCTGACTGCATCAAGTATAATCTGCCAAGGTGCATAGTAAAGAGAACTCTCAAGCAGTGATTCCCAAACCTGAGCAAGCATCAGAGTCACTTGGAGGGCTTGTGAAGGGAGATGGCTGGGCCCCAACTCCAGAGAGCCTGACTCAGTAGGTCATGGGTGGAGCTGAGAATCTGCATTTCTAATCATTTCCCAGGTGACAAGACTGCTGGCTCAGGGATCACACTTTAAGAACTCTGCTCTGGAGTAGAAGAGACCCACTGCCCAGCCTGCAGACAGGACTCCTCCTCCCCCATTTTACACAGGCGAACACCTCACTCACTTTTATAAGTTTCCAGAAAATGAAATTCTTCAGGCAAGTAATTATTATATCATAATAATGTATTAAACACTTACAAAATGTCAAGTGAACTAAATTCCATAGTCAGGAAGCTTTTCTGACTCCAAGTCCCTGTACTTGAAGTTAAACTCATTGATGGTTAAGAAGCAGCCTCCCTTTGCCTCTCAGTGCTGACAGCAAGGCTCAGGTGTGACTGAGGCTGGAGATATTGAGTGATGGAAATGATGTAATTGTCGCCCACTGACTTCTCAGCCACAGTCAGTTCTGGGAGCATTTGTTTAAGGATTTGGTTGACTTGCTTCCAAAGTATCCATAGAAACCAGAATTGTGGCCTTGCACATCTGGATAGGAATCCAGATATCATGTCCTCTCTCTTTATGCAGCAACATCACCTTTCTCTTGGTTTTTTGCTACAATCCTTCATTAGCCCCTGTCTACAGTGTCACAGCTTCTGTAAAGCCTTCCGAATACCGAGAAGGAGGGTCAGGCACGGTGGCTTACTTCTCTAATTCCAGCACTTTGGGAGGCCGAGGGGACGGATCACAAGGTCAAGAGATCAAGACTATCCTGGCCAACCTGGTAAAACCCCGTCTCTACTAAAAATACAAAAATGAGCTGGGCATGGTGGCACACACTTGTAGTTCCAGCTACTCGGGAGGCTGAGACAGGAGAATCGCTTGTACCCAGGATGCAGAGGTTGCAGTGAGCCAAGATCACACCATTGCACTCCAGCCTGGGCAACACTGTGAGACTCAGTCTCCAAAAAACAAAAAATACCCAGAAGAAGAGGGGCTCATTCATTCTTCTGTGTCTACACTGCACTACCCCCTTTTTGATATGTCTACAGAGAGGAAAGCAAGTAAATGTCAGCTCTTGGAGGATTCTTACAGACTTAGTATGATGACTTCGTTTGATATGATGGAAAACTTAGGCCCAAAGGTTAAATTAGAATGTTAAGGTCACCTGCACTCATACATTTATCACAGGACTGTTCACAACAGCAAAGGCATGGAATCAACCCAGGTGCCCATCAATAGTGGCTGGATGAAGAAAATGTGGTATATATACACCATGGAATACTACACAGCCATAAAAAAGAATGAACTCATGGTTTGTTTTTGTTTTTGCAGCAACATGGATGCAGCTGGAAGCCATTATCCTAAGTGAATTAATGCAAACAGAAAACCAAATACCACATGTTCTCACTTATAAGCAGAAGTTCAACATGGGGTACGCATAAATATAAGGACGGGAACAACAGAGACTGTGAACTGCTGGGTGGGAGGAGAGGGAGCGAGGGTGAAAACACTGCCTATTGGGTACTATGTTCACTACTTGGGTGATGGGATCATTACAAAGCCAAACCTCAGCATCACACGATATACCCATGTCACAAACCTGAACATCTTTTAGCCCTCCTCGGATCCGTAACTTCCCTCTAACCATCTCCCACATATTGAGTATTGAGTCATCAATGGATTGTTGCCACACAGTTGGTAGAGATGATGGTTCAGAGAAACGAGCATTCAACACGGAGTTAGGGGACTGGAGTGGAGTCGCCATGTTTAAAGACATTACTTACTCAATGCGTCCAGGAACAAGTTGCCTGACTTTTCTGAGCCTCAATTTCACTGGTGGAAGAAATGAAGGTTGAAGGCAATAGCTTCCAAGGTCGTCTCCTCTATACCTAATAGAAAATAAAAGGATCTGGTGGTTATGTGGTACATTACCAACGATACCAGCACCTGAGTGCCAGGAGTACCTGCCTTGAACCGACCCCCTGCTACCCAGACTCTGTTCCACCCATTGGGGTCTGAAAAGAAGGAAGGACTGAAAAGCCCAGGAACTGGGTCAGGAAGTCTGGTGGCTCCAGGCAGTGACAGCTTCATGCTCCAGTGAATTCGCGGAATGCAGTGTGATTTCCTCTTCCATTTAACCATCAGAAGCATGGAAGGAGAGCCACTCTGCGGCCCTCCTCTCCCTGCCTTCCTCAGTCATGACTCATTAATCGCCACCGGCGAATGAGTATTATTCTAATTTTCCAAATCTAATTCGGAGATGTTTTCAGCTAAAGATCAGGATATAGGTTTATGGCTCAGCTAATGAAATATCTAATGAATTTGCATTAGTGACAATTACAGACAGGATACCCAGAAGAGAAGGGCCAATCACAGCCCTCAGCTGATGCCACTTGCTAATGGCTCCTTTAAGGAGAAAAGCACAGCTCCTGAGACCCTATCCCTAATTGACAATGCCCTTCAGGACACAGGGGCCAGAAGAAGGGAACGGAAGCAGCAGCATTTGCCTTTCCTTTATCTTTTTTTGTGCTGTGCCTCTGCCTTCAAACCAACAGCCAGAAGTGAGAGAGGCCTTTCAAACGTAAAAATGGAGTCCTCAAAATAGGATCCATTTATAAACTTGGATATAAGTGAGATTATCTTAATCTCAACAAACAAACAAGCCAAAAAACCTGGACCCTAGAATAATGAATCACTAGGGAAGGCAGATTATTTTCCTACTCAGAAAAGAGTCTAAGGCAAATGATCTCTATGGAAAGCCAGTGTGCATTTACATTACAGTTTTGGGACCTGCTCATGCCTATAATCCCAGCACTTTGGGAGGCCAAGGAGGGAGGAGCATTTGAAGTTAGAAATTCAAGAGCAATCTGGCCAAAGGAGCAAGACCCCTTCTCTAAAAAAGAAAAGAAAAAAAATGCAGCCGGTCATGGTGGCACACACCTGCAGTCCCAGCTACACAGATCAAGCCTTGCCTTAGGAAAATAAATAAATTGTTTAATTAAACAAAACACAGTCTTGGAATTCTTACTCTGCCCCCATGCAAAAGAGGATGCGAGTCTCTGAGGCCCCTCTTTTGCTCCCACACTGCTCGCTCTTTGTTTTGTAAGGTGCAAATCTCAGTTGAAGTCTGCAAAACCTAGAGACAGAAAAGGCTCTAAAACCACAAAGCTAGATCAGTCGGCACTGACAATTTTTATGATCTCTGGGAGCTGAAGAAGCAACATTTACCTTTCCTTTACCTCCGTTAGTGCTGCGGCTCTGCCTTCAAACCAACAGCCAGAAGTGAGAGCAGGCCTTTCAAACGTAAAAATGGCGTCCTCAAGATAGGATCCATTTATAAACTTCGATATAAGTGAGATTTTCTTAATCTCAACAAACAAACAAGCAAGCCAAAACACCTGGACCCTAGAATAATGACTCGCCAGGGAAAGCTGATTATGCTTTATCTGCTTTCCCTGCAAACCAGTTGTCCAATCAGCGTCGAAGACAAGGTCTAAGCAAGTGAAGGCTGCGAAAGAAAACTAAAAACAAAAACAAACAAACAAAAAAAACCTACCTTCCTTTTGTTCCCAGGTGGACAGCTGTAATTTTACATGCTGACTTCATCTCCTGTAAAATGTAGATTTAATAAGTGGGAGACAAATGCATGATTGACTTTCACCCCACTCCCTTCTTTTCACATGTAAAATGTAGATTCACTGAGTGCTAATCAAAACAAGAATGGGACCACTTGCTTCATCACCTCCTGTCCCTTCCTCCTCTTTTGTCTCTTTCCTTCCTGCTTACTCTTTGTCCTTTAAATATTCAAGATCCCATAACCCTCTTTGGAAATAGCACAGGCCACAGATCCTACTTGTGTTTCTTTTTCCCAGGCACATCCTAAACCTTAGCAAAATAAACCTCTAAATTGATTGAGATCTGACTCAGGCACTTTTTAGTTTACAAGGTGTAGGCTGTAGGAACAGAAAAAGCCACCCCCAAATGAGCTGAATGTGCACCAACCTCCCTGTCACCTGGCTGTTCCCATCTCCCTATATAAGCCCAAAGTTGTAGCGGAACAAATGGGGCATCCCCCATGTGCAGGCCATAGCCCCCAAGTTAAATGCAGCCACCACTTTTCAGTGTGACAGTTGGAGGGGGTTTGGTCTCTTTTTTTCTTCCTCCTTCCTCTCCATCCTTCTTCTTCTTCTTTCCCTTCACTTGGATGTCAGATCACCTCTACTGACCTCCTTGGATCTTTAACTGGCCCTATTACTGCACATTCTTTTCTATGTGAAGGTGAAACATGCTCTCTTTAATTTCCTATTAGCTCCCTAATCATTTTCTTGTGGAGTGCCTGGTTTGGGCCAGTTCTTCTTGGGGGTTTGATGGCCTTGTGCCTTAGCTAGTGTTTCCTATGTAACGTTGGTTGCTTTTCTGTGGTCAGAGAGAAGGTGTCTTAAATGTAAGAGATCAAGATGGACCGGGCACAGTGGTGCCTACAATTCCAGCACTTTGGGAGGCTGTGATGGGAGGATTACTGGAGGCCAAGGGTTTGAGACAAGCCTGGGCAACAAAGTGAGACCCCCGTCTCTACAAAAATTAGGAATAAATTAGCTGGGCATGGTGGCAAATGTCTGTAATCCTAGGTACTCAGTAGGCTAACGTGGGAGGATTGCTTGAGCCCTGCAGTTGGAGGCTGCAGTGAACTATGATTGTGCCATTGCACTCCAGTCTGGGTGACAAGGCAAGACTAACTCTACAAAAAAAAAAAAAAAAGAGAGAGAGAGAGAGGGAGAGAGAGAAAGAGAGATCAAAGTAGTGGCATGAGAGAGGAATCTAGTACAAGGATAAAAATAAAAATTATTAGCCGCGTGGAGAAGCCATCATACATTCTCCAGCCCTGGTGACCGCAGCAATGAGGAGGGACAGGCCGTGTCTTACCCATTTATGTTGCGCCAACACTTAGACTAGCACTTAGTACACTGTTGTGGCTGGAAGTGTGTCTGGAGTGAGCTAACAGATGAATGAATTCTGGGCTGCCTTCCTAGGGTAAGACAGCTGGAGATAGATCATCATCACAACTGAGATGTCAGTCCCCAGAGGAAAAGAAAATAAGAGTCGCTGACAGATCAAATTTGGGTTGGCGATGAAACCTTAAGCCACTCTATGCAAGAAGAAAGCTGACTGCCAAAACCATCTTGATCACCCTAAACACAGGCCAAAGCTTAGCTTTTCTGAATGCCCCTGACCTTTCAAATGTACGTAGTCTGCACAGTGAGCACTGGCTCGAGTCATTCTATTGTCGGGTCAAACACCTTATTGAAGTCAGTTAGAAGGTCGGGCATGGAACCTCCTACCTAGCAATGGCCTAGATCACTCTGTCCCCTTCCCGTGCTAGCTTCTCACAATGGCATATGTTTTTGAAATCCTGTTCGTCTCTTTTTAAAATGGGATGTACATTTGAGGGGCCGGGCACGGTGGCTCACGCCTATAATCCCAGCACTTTGGGAGGCTGAGGCGGGTGGATCAAGAGGTCAAGAGTTTGAGACCAGCCTGGTCAACATGGTGAAACCCCCTTTCTACGAAAAATACAAAAATTAGCCACACATGGTGGCAAATGCCTGTAATTCC